ACTGTGGCGCCAAGATTGCATTTCCCCCGCATCGCTATCGCTCTCTCGTGGCATCTGCAATCTGCCCGCTTACAGTAGATTGAAATGTGCGTATGTGACTGCATATTGAGATGCGCGTATGTAACTGTGTAACGTTGAAATGATAGTTCAAGTATAGAAGATGATATAAAGAATCCAAAACTTGTATGGTAACCGGAATAATCTTTAATAACTGGCACAGTGTATACGCATCTTGCACAAAGACAAAACAACGCGCAAACGCGCGTCAGCGCGTGCGCTTCCTCTCGCGACCACGATTATGGCTAAAATGTGGGGGAGTCTGCTGGTGCATGCACCAGCAGCTAGACTCCCCCACATTTTAGCCATAATTCCCTGCATTCTGGTACAACACATTCACACTAATGTGTCAAACTGCTAGATACAAAAGATGCGTCGCGACACGCTCACTGCTAAGATAATAGTCTCTGGCTACGTGAACAAACAGCAGTTACATTTATCTTTTCCCTTTTAATAACACGATGCCCCATCGGGATTTCGGACTCCTGGCCGATCTAAACTATATTTCAACTTTCATTAATTTACATTTACATTCTACAAAACAAGTAACGATAAAGTTCAATCACCATACAAGTCAGAACTTCAACACATTTGGCAGTGAACATTTTGATATCGCTGCAATTACTCTCACTCTTGCGTCTTTTTATGCTGTAACGTACGTGGCGTATGCGTGTACCGACACGCATTACCGAAACCACGTTTCCAGCCATGTGTACCATTATATCCTCATTTAAACCTCTTAATTCCATTAATACACACAGCTCCGATGTGAACCTGACAACCTTTGTCACTTCCACACATCATACAGCCAAAAAACGCAAAACTGATTTCATATTTTCGATGAAATGTTTTAGGCCTATATCAAACTCTAATTGAAGAATGTGTTTAGCAGTCTGACAATATAGTGTAAACGTACCGTTACGACAAATTCAAGAAAACGATCACAAATTTCTAAACAAAGTTTCACGCAAAAGATTTTCCCACACAAAGAAACGGTCACAAGCATATATACCATAAACAAAATACCGCGTACATAAAACAAAGAAAAACAGATAAAATATACATTCCTGATCATATGACTGTCACCCATTCACGTACAGTTTCGACGGCACGAGATTAAATCTTTCCACCAATTAAATTTAGAATTCCCTGGATTTTTTTTTAGTTATTACAGTTTGCAATATATCTTTCACGTCCTCTGTCTCTGCTCTGTCAGCCTTGCCTTCTCTGTTCTACAAGTGAAAATTCTTGAAATCAATGTGGCAAATGTTTCAAGTGAAGATCGGTGTTTAAATCTGTAGTGATTTAACGTGAATAAAGTGTACGTCGCGTATGCGACGAAACTCTCTCTAAGTATTTTTCGCTTCGCCGGCAGCGGTTTCAAACTGTAAACAACTGATTTTTGGACTGCGGATTTTAATTAGGCATTTTTTAGTAACCAGCAGTGACATTGGACAAACTAATACGCGTTTGTATGTAAGGTTATGTATTTTTTAACTACACAAGGTGCCAGTTACTCTAGCATTCGTCAACATTGCATAAGCAATGGGCTTATTATGCCTTTAATAGTGATAACAGTATTCCACAGCCATATTACGGTTGTTGTTCTCTCGTATTATTTAGTTAGATGTAGATGTATTATACGTTGTATATCGAATAAAGATGCTGCATTCGCACGCGCGCGCACGCACTATAGTCCCCAGGTCTGTGTCTGTAGTATGGTAAACGATATATCGGATCATAATTGGACTTAAAAATCTTATAATTATTATAACACGCGCACGCACACGCACATACACGCGCGCGCACGCACGCACGCACGCACAAACACAAACAACAAACAAACACACACACACAAACACAGACACACATACAAACACGCACACACACGCACACACACGCGCGAAAATAATCACATTTCGTTGTCAGTTTATCATCGTTACATCATCTATATAGTATCTATATAGTATTACTGTAACGGCCGCGCGTAATTTGACGTGTCTCCTCCGAAACCCGCCGTAAAGAATGTGCCCATTTTCCTCTTACCGGAAGGTTTCCAATGTGTCGAAGACGATGCGCTATGTCACTAGGCTTTATTTTGCATGACAACGTTACTTCAGCAACATTTCAACGACAACAACATTTCAGCAGGGTCACCTTCGGCAGGTCTCAATTTCGATCGGTAAGTGTATGCTGCCATCTCTACAAACAATTATTAACTAGAAAACGCATGCGTGCCTTGCGTGCGCCATTTGGCGCAAATCTAGCAAGCAGACGGTGTTGCTATCCCCCGGGCGGGGAGGGAGGGTCACGTGAAACAGTTGACGTATACTTCAAAATCATTACTCATCAGGTAACGCTAACTCCAGCACCTCCAACGCTAACCATAACACTAAACATATATATCTGGGAGCGCTATATATAGGTTCTGTGATCCACAAAAGTTAACTACTTGTGGTGGGGACAGATATCATGATGCAAAAACCCTAACCCTAACCCTAAACCTATCCCTAACCCTAACCCTAACCCTAACCATAAGCCGATAGGTGGGACCGGGTACCAGTCTAGCGGACACACTGAGAAAATAACTTTCCCCCGGGCGTAGATTGAGGGTTCCGCTACGTGACAGCACTAGTGTTAAGATTAAGTAAGATTAGTTAGTGTTAAGATTAGTGTTAGTATTAAGGTTAGGGTTAGGGTTAGGAAAATAAGGTATAATAATATAATATATAGGGAAATGATTATAAACGCCTTGTGCAGTGACGTCATAAGACGTGATCACATGCCCTCAATCTACGCCCTGGGGAAAGTGACACCCACACACTGACACTGTTACACAAGCGAATCGGCACATAGGCAAGATAAATCTTAAATAACTACTCATAATATCGTTATTAGTGTAATTAGTAACGTATTGTATTAGTGTAAGTGTAGTTAACAGTAAATGAGTATAGCATTCAAGAAGCCATTCAATGGATCATGTTGAGCTTTTCATTGCGTGGAGTATAGATACGCGGCTTCATGTTCAAGTGCGTTCATGAGTTTGTACGCCGTATTCATAATCATGTGTATGCATGTACCGTTGTTCGTGTTAACTGTATGTAGATGTAGGCGCCTACGAGGCTACGTGTGTGACAGTAGATTGAGATGTGTGACTGTAAACTGAGTGTTACGTATGTGACTGTAGACTGAGATGTAACAGTAAACTGGGATGCACGTATGTGACAGTAGATTGAGATGTATGACTGTAAACTGTGATATACGTAGGCTACGTGACTGTAGCCTGAGATGCACGTACGTGACTATAGACTGATATGCACATATCATGCTGATGCAGGCAGGAATCAGGCATGTTTACAGAAATGTATCGACATTGATGCAGGAAAATGACCCAGTAGATGCACACAAATGCACACGGACGCGAACTACAGGCCCCTACGTACACATACGGAAACAGACAGACTGCAAAATTTAATCCTACATCAAACTATAGTCCGGCGTATGTGTATATAATATCAAGAGCTAATAAATGCCTATTTTACATAATAAAGGTAAAATACCTTAATATAGGTAATATATCGAAATATAGCCTGCATCTGGCCCTGGATCGTGTACCTATGTCTTCCTTTATTCGTATTTTGCCTTCCTAGCATTTGTTTACTGGAGATGTTTTTACTCTCCCTTTTGTTTCTTCTAGCTATTCTACAGTACAGAGAGATCGAATCACCGGCGGAAGACAGAAAGAGAAACGTAATGATGCAGAAGACAGATTGCGGGACGGCAAAATATGCCTCCTTCTGGCCATTGATAGTGATTGATGTGCGCAAAGAGCTATCTAGGCCTATATACGCATGTGAGCACGCACTCACACAAACACACTAAGCAAATGCATATGCACGCGTTAGCACGCACGCACACAAACACCTATGTACAATATACGCGCGTGAGCACGCATGTGCACAAACAGATCGCAGTAATGCCTATTAAACCCTTTTGATGGATACCCATGCATATATGGGCTAAGAGTGTCTTTAATTATATCTTCATAAGTTCATTTCTAGTTCATTTCAATTATATCTATAGTTCCAATCGCCTTCTCTTTTGTTTCATTGCAGTGTAAAAATCGATGAACTTTAAGGTTTTCGCTGACCGGTGGCTGCGTGGAGCGTGGACATGGCCATGGTGCCATATAGATTCATTCATAAATGGTGACTGACACGCACGATGGACTGTATTTCACTGTGACCTTGCAGCATATATCGAGGTTTACTATTACATATGCAAGTTAATGATTTTTAACCGAAAAACCGTAGGCCTATCCGCTGAGCAGATAACGCGTGCTAATCAGGGAAGGAGCAAATGAGTTTGCTGTGTAGCTCCCCTGTGATGTAATGTAAAAAAAAGTTAAATCCTTCCCGTGCCTATATATGGCGCATAGGGCGGTGCCTATATCTCTATTTCATTAACCCTGAGGCCCCGCAGTTGCTTTCACAGTAAATGCTACAGTAGGAGGTTAGTCCACTAGTAGCACTGCGAGTTAACTTGCCACACTCTAGCTATCTCTATTTGCTGATTGCTAAGATGCGTGATGCAAACTCCGCCCAAAATTCCGCCTCGCAGCGTCGCCAAGTACGATGCAAGTTTGATCAATCTTGCATGACTCTCTCGTTCTTCGAGACAATCCCGAGAACTTAGAAGATTAATCTTTATGAGGTTATAATTAAGAGTGATATCAATATAGTTTTAGCCAGTGATGAAGGTTTTCACCTATGTCTAGATAAATAAAATTTTGCTACACGCTGTCACCAGGTGGCAGCAGGTGACTAGCCTGCAGTCAGTGGCACCACATAGCCTCGAGTGGACGTAGAAGATGCAGAAGTGGAAGTCTGTGAAAAGACAATGGTATCCACTGATATCAGAATATCTTCTCGCAAGATGCTGATATGGTAGTCCTAGTTCCTATATAGGGGAAAACGCTGAACGCAACGTGAATGTGTGAGGAATGTTTAACAATGTTCAGGATAGCAGAGCGTGAGGATGTTATACTCCGTGAGGATATACCAAAATACAATCATGGGTCTTCCTTTATTTGTATTTCACATACCTCGCATTTGTTTACTGCAGATGTTTTTACTCTCCGTGTTTATCTTGCAGCCATAATAGTGGCATCGAATCACCGACGGCAGATGGAGAAGACAGACTGCAAGGCGACAAATCACGTTTTATTTGTCTATTAATTTCTGGTTATATATCATGTCATTGTCATTATGTGTACTAACCAATATCGTATTACGTAGAACGAGCACACTTGCATGAACAAAAACAGATATCTATGCGTGCATAAGCACGCACGCGCACAAATAGATACCATATACAAGGTAGAAGCCCCGCGCACGTCTAGAAAGCATTAGAAGTGAGATTTGTGGTGTAATATTCGTGCAGTCGCGTCTAGTGGTGTAGCCATGGTTGGCGGTCGGCCATTTTGTATTTGAAACGGGATATCCGAAGGCTGGAGATAATTAATAGCTAGTGATCGACATTATTTTGTGGAAAGCGATGCATGCGCAGAATGGACTACGCGTACCCGTAGCCTCGAGACATAAGATACGGCTACCGTCCCCGTAGCCACTGCGAACAAAAATACATTTGATACCTGTGCTATAGTTTGCAACCATGACAAAAATGGCATTAGGAGTTTCGAACCCATCCGAGGACGGTTAACGTTTTCCGAACATTCCAAGAACATAACTCTCTCGCAAGTAAAACCAAGGAATGCATAACGATATGGGATATGTTCTTAGAATATTTTTGGCTAATGTAACCAAACTAGAACCTCCAGCGAATGTTACGAGGATGTTCCGTGTTTGCTGGGCATAGCCACGAGTTACTATTACTGTACTTACTGTTAGAAAGACGTGGCGACAGAACATCCAGAAGTTGAAAAGGAAAACGAGAAAGTTGTGAGTGATGACGGAAAAAGCGTGGCTCACAGAAAGAAGTTGTTTGAGAATATAAATAATCACAATAACTCATGCGTGTTTAGTTAGGCTTTGTAAAGCCTTGCCGTAGTTTAAGCAATACTCCGGTAGCTGTGTACAGGTACACTGCGCTCCTTATCACCAACAGCAGTAGATCTGAGAAAAACAAACAAACTTAGGGCGATGTGCGCTGGTAGGTTTATACATTGGACCTAGCGCGGAGAAGAATCACTTATCAAATATAACAGCGCCTACGCGCTTGGAAAAACATCGGCGGTGAATTCCCTGAACTCGTTCAGACTTCTAGTCTGCAAACCAACCATGCACGCCACGGAAACATATTACACACACACACACACACACACAACACACACACACACACGCACACACACGCGCGCGCGTACGCATGCCCGCACGCATGAACACACGCATGCACGCACGGAAACATTCCAAACATTTATATAGTTCGCGTGCGTGCATGCGCGCGTGTGTGTAATATCTCGTGCCAAAATTAACGCATGATAGACGTCAACATCGCAACACCATACAAACACGACGCACGCACGACGCACGCAAGCACGCATGCACGCCCACACACACGCGAGACGCGGGAGAGAGAACGGTGGATACACACGCGTAGGAACTACTGTGAGTAAGTCAGCGTGAAGGAAGGAACGGCCGTGTTGCATCGCGTGATACTGCGAGGCAAATCGCGAGTCTCGAACTATTGTGTGAGAGAGAGAGAGAAGAGAGAGAGAGCGAGGCGCGAGCGAGCGAGCGAGCGAGCAGCGAGGAGAGAGAGAGAAGAGAGAGAGAGAGAGAGACGAGAGAGAGGAGAGGAGAGAGAGAGAGAGAGAAGAGAGAGAGAGAGAGAGGAGAGCAGAACAGAGAAGGCAAGCTGACAGAGCAGCAGACAGAGACGGAAAGATATATTGCAAACTGTATAACTAAAAAAAAAATCCAGGGAATTCTAATTAATTGGTGGAAAGATTAATCTCGTGCCGTCCGAATCTGTACGTGAATGCGGTGACAGTCATATCGATCAGAATGTATTTTATCTGTTTTTCTTTGTTTTATGTACGCGGTATTTTTTTATGGTATATATGCTTGTGACCGTTTCTTTGTGTGGAAAATCTTTTGCGTGAAACTTTGTTTAAGAAATTTGTGATGCGTTTTCTTGAATTTGTCGTAACGGTACGTTTACACTATATTGTCAGACTGTAACACAATTCTTCAATTAGAGTTTGATATAGGCCTAAAACATTTCATCGAAAATATGAAATCAGTTTTGCGTTTTTTGGCTGTATGGATGTGTGAAGTGACAAAGGTTGTCAGGTTCACATCGGAGCTGTGTGTATTAATGGAATTAAGAGGTTAAATGAGGATATAATGGTACACTGGCTGGAAACGTGGTTTCGTAATGCGTGTCGTACACGCATACGCCACGTACGTTACAGCCATAAAAAGACGGCAAGAGTGAGAGTAATTGCAGCGATATGCAAAATGTTCACTGCCAAATGTGTTGAAGTTCTGACTTGTAGTTGATTGAACTTATGCGTTACTTGTTTTGTAGAATGTAAATGTAAATTAATGAACGTTGAAATATAGTTTAGATCGGCCAGGAGTCCGAAATCCGATGGGCATCGTGTTATTAAAAGGGAAAAGATAAATGTAACAGCTGTTTGTTCACGTAGCCAGAGACTATTATCTTAGCAGTGAGCGTGTCGCGACGCATCTTTTGTATCTAGGCAGTTTGACACATTAGTGTGAATGTGTTGTACAGAATGCAGGGAATTATGGCTAAAATGTGGGGAGTCTAGCTGCTGGGCATGCACAGCAGACTCCCCACATTTTAGCCATAATCGTGGTCGGGCGAGAGGAAGCGCACGCGCGAGCGCGCGTTTGCGCGTTGTTTTTGTCTTTGTGCAAGATGCGTATACACTGTGCCATGCAGTTATTAAAGATTATCCGGTTACCATACAAGTTTGATTCTTATATCATCTTCTATACTTGAACTATCATTTCAACGTTACACAGTTACATACGCGCATCTCAATATGCAGTCACAGTCATACGCACATTTCAATCTACAGTCACATGATAGTGGCATATCAGTCTAAGTCACGCGTACTTGCATCTCAAGGCTACAGTCACCGTAGCCTACGTATATCACAGTTACAGTCATACATCTCAATCTACTGTTCACATAACGTGCATCCAGTTTACTGTTACATTCTCAGTCTACAGTCACATACGTAACACTCAGTTTACAGTCACACATCTCAATCTACTGTCACACACGTAGCCTCGTAGGCGCCTACATCTACATACAGTTAACACCCGAACAACGGTACATGCATACACATGATATGATACGGCGTACAAACTCATGAACGCACTTGAACATGAAAGCGTATCTATTCACTCCACGCAATGAAAAGCTCAACATGATCACATTGAATGCTTCTTGAATGCTATACTATTTATGTTAACTACACTTACACTAATACAATACGTTACTAATATAACACTAATAACGATATTATGAGTAGTTTATTTAAGATTTATCTTGGCCTATGTGCGATTCGCTTGTGTAACAGTGTCAGTGTGTGGGTGTCACTTTCCCGCAGGTGCGTAGATTGAGGGCATGTGATCACGTCTTATGACGTCACTGCACAAGGCGTTTATAATCATTTCGCTATATTATATTATATTATACCTTATTTTCCTAACCCTAACCCTAACCCTATATCTAACACTAATCTTAACACTAATCATATCTTACTTAATCTTAACACTAGTGCTGTCACGTAGCGGAACCCTCAATCTACGCCCGGGAAAGTTATTTCTCAGGTGTGTCCGCTAGACTGGTACCCGGTCCCACTATCGGCTTATGGTTAGGTTACGGGTTAGGGTTAGGGATAGGTTTAGGGTAGGGTTAGGTTTTGCATCATGATACTGTCCCCACCCAATAGATTAACTTTTGTGGATCCCAGAACCTATATATAGCGCTCCCGAATATATATGTTTTAGTGTTATGGTTAGCGTTGGAGGTGCTGGAGTTAGCGTTACCTGATGAGTAATGATTTTGAAGATACGTCAACTGTTCACGTGACCCTCACCTCGCCCGCCGGGGATAGCAACTACCGTCTGCTTGCTAGATTTGCGCAAAAATGGCGCACGCAAGGCACGCATGCGTTTCTAGTTAATAATTGTTGTTAGAGATGGCAGCATACCACTTACCGATCGAAATTGAGACCTGCGAAGGTGACCCTGCTGAAATGTTGTTGTCGTTGAAATGTTGCTGAAGTAACGTTGTCATGGCAAAATAAAGCCTAGTGACATAGCGGCATCGTCTTCCGACATCATTGGAAACCTTCGCGTAAGAGGAAAATGGGGCACATTCTTTACCGGCGTTTCGGAGGAGACACGTCAAATTAGCGCGGCCGTTACAGTAATACTTATATAGATACCTATATGAATGATGTAACGATGATAAACTGACAACGAAATGTGATTATTTTCGCGCGTGTGTGGCGTGTGTGTGCGTGTTTTGTATGTGTGTCTGTGTTTGTGTGTGTGTGTTTGTTTGTTGTTTGTGTTTGTGCGTGCGTGCGTGGTGCGCGCGCGTGTATGTGCGTGTGCGCGTCGCGCGTTATAAAATTAATAAGATTTTTAAGTCCAATTATGATCCGATCTATCGTTTACA